TTTCCAGACTCCACCCATCGGTTTCCAGACTCCACCCATCGGTTTCCAGACTCCACCCATCGGTTTCCAGACTCCACCCATCAGTTTCCAGACTCCACCCATCGGTTTCCAGACTCCACCCATCAGTTTCCAGACTCCACCCATAAGTTTCCAGACTCCACCCATCAGTTTCCAAACTCCAGGTTTCAAATTCCAACTAGCGAAGGATCCTAAAAATATATAAAGTCAACCTTTTATCCGAAGTAGAAACGTAAAACCTATTTGTAACCAGTCACCAGCAAAATCACGTGTACAGAAACTGAGCTCGCCAATCTAAAAAAAGGTAAGTAATCCGAAGTAGAAGCGTAAAACCTATTTGTAACAAGTCACCAGCAAAATCACGTGTACAGAAACCGAGCTCACCAAAAAAAAGGTAAGTATGCAGTTCAAAAAAAAAGAAGAATAAAGTGATTTACCTTTATACCATAGTAAATAAAATGTACATATTCTAGAAAAAGCAGAGAAGAATAAAGCGAAGAATTACTTTTATACCGTAGTAAATCTAGATAAAGAAATACAAGAGAAACACATAATCTAAAAAGAGGAATAAGATGAAGGCTTACCCTATACGTCGTAAATCTAGACGAAAAAATGCAAGAAAAGGTGAGTGTATAGTCTAAAAAAAGCGAAGACTTACCTTTATACCCTTATACTATAGTAAAATTGGATTAATAAACGCATAAAGAGGTAAGCGTATGGTCCAAGAAACAGAGAGGAATAAAACATAAAGGAAGTAAGGAACGCGTTTTTTCATTTATTATGTTATGATTGGATAATATCATGTGATATCATCAATTCTCAGCCCACGTGATCTAATATTCACCGACATCACCCCATCACCCCACTGCGTTTTCACTGTAATAGCTTGTGTGCCAGATTCATGGCACAGCAAATTTTTTTAAAAAACATCATTAAGGATTTTTCTTTAACATGATATTTTTAAACTTATATTGTAAATGTAATTTCGCCCGCTCTGCAAGTTTACTTAGGATTCGGAAGAAGGTTACGAATGCCGATTTTGACTTTACATATGAATGATTGATTTCTACCTCTTTGTCGATCGTTTCCAAAAATGGATTTCGTGAAAGAAAAAATAAGTCAATAATGATATTTAAATTTGCCTTTGTCGCTCTAAGTAAACTCGAAGAGCAGCCAAAATTACATCTATCTAGTAATTTTTGAAGTTATATATTGTTAAAAAAATTTCTACAAAAATGTCACGAAACGGCCGGCATTAAGAAATTCTATATGACATATAATGTGTGACAGTAGGATTTCACACCTCGCATGTAAACAAGGAAGGGTGTGACGCAATTTGCTGGAACCTGGCACACAAAAGGGGTGCATTTTGCTTATCCGAGCCAATCCTATAAAAGCGCTATGTTTGGTTGCAGGAAAAAACCCTTATCTGTTATGTAAATGTTTTAACGTAAAAGTTAATAAAACTGAGGCGGTTAGTGAACTCAGGAAAGCTATCAAGGAGGAAATTGACGATAATGTTAAGGCAAAAAACCTTAAGTTATGGAAGGTCGACATTTCCCTCGAAGAAGAAAACGAAAAACTTAATCTCGTCAACACAAAATTAAACATTAATATTAAAGAGGAGTTTGGTGGAGAGGAACTGCTTCCACTTTCGAAAATTAGCAACACTTTCCCTCTCAGTCAGCTGACGAACACAAACATATTATCCTGTTGAGACGAAAGAAGTTCACTGCACGCAACGTATGGGCGTAAGAGTGTGAATTTTCAATGGACAGTGACCTGAAAAATGGTGACGTTGGAAGGTTTTAAAAGAAGCTTTGTGAATATTTCACATTTTCGGATGGGACGGAAAACGAGCATATTGTAATAGGTAGTGTAATAGGGGGCGCTGGCTTGAAGAGAAAAATTTCGACGGGTAAAATGCGTAGAAAATTAGACCAGGCAAGTTCAAGTTCCCAGAGTGCAACGTTAGAAGCTGATATAGTAGAGATTGTGACGGAGCGTAAAGTTATTCATTTTTCTGCTGACGAGGATTTATTGAGCATTATCTGGATCGCTAACCTCAAGTTGTGGATACGTGTAAGTGCTATCAATATATTTAATTTGATATCTGGTCAGTTAATTTATGCATGACCTGTTTTTAAAGCGCAACAACCCTTTTCTTTCCCCAAGATGAAGATTCTTTTCTATTTGAAGGCTGATAGCTATTATCAATTACCATGTATTGAGGTAGAAGATCATATTCTGCACCAATCTGAGCAAGTGCGAAGTCCAATTTATTTAGATCATGTGGTGGTTCGAAAATTTCGTTGTTAAATTGACAAAAACACGCAAGCATCGAATCTGATTCTTTGAATATTACGGAACCTTCCCGATGGAATTTGAATGCATTATAAATAATCTGTGCTAAATCATCAAGATGAAGATTCTTTTCTGTTTGAAGGCTGATAGCTATGTCAATTACCATGTATTGAGATTGGAAGATAATATTCTGCACCAATCTGAGCAAGTGCGAAGTCCAATTTATTTAGATCATGTGGTGGTTTCGAAAATTTCGTTGTTAATTGACAAAACACGCAAGCTTCGAATCTGCTTCCTAGTATTCTGGCCGAGCGATTGGAATTTTTATACCGTTTCATCTATCGTTGAAGTAAAAAAGTATCGAATTGATATTTTTTGCGAATTAAATTCAATCCAATACGTAAGTTACTTTTGTTATATTCTTATATTCTTAAAAAAGAATAACCTATGATTTAAAAAAAAAAAATTTACAATATTGAAAATAATAATGAAAGTAAATAAGTAGTGGTATTTTATGAGGTCATTTTCTTAAATAAATTTTAAATAACAAAATCATTAGTATACTAACTACCCGTTAATAATACTTTTTTTTTTCTGTTATAGCATGGTCTTTTTTCTTATTGATATGACAAGAAGAAGGAATGAAGAAGAAAGAATTAACCGGGAGTTTATAATGTAAAAAGAAGGTTTAAATATTTTAATTGAATGAGTTTAAATCTTATACGTTACAAAAAGATAATTTTATTTATGATTATTCTCTTGTAATCAAATAATCAATTAATAAATAAATAGCCTTTTTTAAAAAAAAATATTTTTTTTTTATTTATTTGTGTTAAAATAAATTGAAGATGAAATATTTTTATATGAATAAAAGAATTTATAAGTATAATAGTATGATAATTTACAAATCGTGTTGAAATGACTGCTGAACATTTATCTTTATTGACCTTAAAGATTATAAGGTTGACATTATCTGTCAAATTTATTTTTCTTGACTCATTAAAACCATCTGTTGAACATCGTATAAATCGATTGCAACATTTATAGTTAGCATTCAACAATCTATCGAAACATGATAAAGTCTATCGTAAATATATCTGCAAGGGTCTTCTCTTTCATAAAAGAATTGTATTCTTGCACAGATATGTTTGAGGCAATCCAGTTAAGGTTCAATATAATGCCCAAGTGGTGATTCGATACCTCCTCTTTCCGGAAGAAATGGCAAATCTTAGTTTGGATCTCCTTCTCTTTAAATATTGGGAATTATTACATCAATTTGTCCATTTCTGCATAATTCTTTGAATCCTTTCCAAATGGTATTGGTTATCTCGACGGCTTTTATGGCGGATACTGTGGTAATGTTGATACTTAAGCGAGCTACTCATGTCCACGAAACTGGTAGATGTGTGACCTTACAAATCCTCACTCAGTTTTACTGATCACTCATTTCTTGTAGGATGTTAGAGATGGTTTTATTCCTTCCCCTAATGAATGTATTGAAAAGTAAGACTGTAATTCATCAATAACAAATAAGCGATCTAAAAAAAAAGAAATGTAAATATAAATTTAATGTATTAACAATGTACAAAGTATTATCATAATTAAGATCAATCAATTACTTGTTCCTAACCAGAATTCATCAGAAAGTTCACTGAAAAATCGCTGGTTATAATTATATATGGGGAATGAACAGGATATCCCTGCGGTTCATACGAGTTAAAAAACTGGATGAACTTCAATACTTGGTAATTAAAACTTCTTTGATGAAAATATTTTCTGAATGACCATAAGTAGTTTAAAAAACATAAAATTTAAGAGGATCCTTAGGAGGTACAGATATTATCCTGTACCCCTTTATTTGGTTTCATCCAATTTTTATGTATAAAAAGCCGAATAATTGCGAAAGTATGATCAAACTATATAAAGTAAGAGATCCTTAATTATTATCCCATTTGGAGGTATAGATTTTTATCCTGTATAAGAATTAAGGAGAAATCAAACAATACGCGTCTCAAAAAAGTAAGAAATTCTCAGGTGATCAATGTCGATCACTTTGCCAGATTGCTGCGCAGATTGAAATGTAAATATGCTGTATGCTGTAATATTTAGAAACCCCTAATGTGTGATTTTATATTAGTTAATATATAATTTCCTTTGTTTGAACATATAATAATTATAATCCCAAACCATAATAATTACAATTTACATATGAAGGAAATATTTTGATCCTTTGGGAAATTTCAATAATTACTACTTAACCGAACTCCGAAGTCCGAACTGGAGAAAAGCTAACTAAATATGAAAAAAAAATCGGATATTTCACGCAGAAATGAATAAAAAAAATTGATGCCAGATTATAACATTTAATTACATCACTTCGGGTTTGTAGGATTTGTATAAAATGATTTACTACTATATTTCCAGCCAATCATTTAGAATTTCCCATTAAATTACCTAAAAATATATGACAAGAGTGTTCCCGATTTTTATTAATAAAGTTTGTATGATAAGTAGTAAAAAGTTAAGTAGTCGTTCAAATGATTAATATTTGTATTACAATTATTTAACGCCATTTTATTATTATTATTATTATTATTATTATTATTTTTATTATTATTATTATTATTTTTAATGTCTTCTAATTTCAGATCGCTTTTCTAAAAGATTATTATCAGTTATCAGTTTTACACCTGTTACACCAATTTGGGATAGTAATATTTAATTTTTTCTTTGTTAGTTTTATTAGGAAATTATGTATTAACAAAAATTTGGTAGAAATATGGATATGATTTTTCTTCAATGGTTTTCCGAAAATTTAACATAATTACCAACCGAATGTTTATATGAATTATTGATGAGAAGAAATGTTTGTTTGTCAAATTTCCATAAATCGGTAATCAATTTAATACGTACTAATATTTTTTCTATTTACATAATGATCCGTTGATGATTATTTATATATTATTTATATTTTATTTGTGAAAAGGGTTTATCCAATAAGAATTTATTTTATTTTATTTTTTTTACAATAATTAATAATTAATATAAATTTATCTTTAACAAGATAATATCATATCAGCATATCAGATATGAGTAAATGGACGATATATAAGTTCCTGTCAATAAATTTTTCTTTTTTTTTTCCCACAAAAACGTTTGAAATGATTCAAATGAATGTAACTACAAATGGAATTAATCATAGACAATGCCCGTAAGTTAAAAAAAGATCTCAGCGCGTAATATTCGCGATATGTTAAATATATAATTAATCTTATCTTATATTAGGTGGGCGCTTACCATAGAAAATTGTAATGGGGTTCAAATGTTCCGAACTTTTTTGATAATTGGAGCAATATTATATTTAATGTTAACATTAATATTATTGACTTATTATATATACAATTCAATTAAACAAAATGAAAAATTTTATAAAATAATATCTTGGACATCTTTAAATTATATGAAATTTTGGTCAATAATTTATTTTTCAAGTGAGTCATTTAAAAAAAATTATTTTTTTTTTATCCAGAGATAAATTAGAAATTCTAACTTTTCTTATAGTGCGATGTTTTCATTGTATAACCATTATTTTTAATTTATTTGGAGATAATATAATATTTCGAGATACATTCTTTTTAATATCATGGATACCAGGACATCTTTTAGTATATATACATATAGTAAGCATATTTAGAATTCTACCAAGTTTATTATTTAATCAATTTACAGAAACAACATCAAGAATGAAAACAATTTGGATCCCAAAAGGAGAAAAACAAATTACAATTATATTTTGGGCATTTTGTATTATCACAGTATTAAGTTTAACAACAACTAGTTTTATAGCAGCATTTATTAGAAGAAGTGAAGGATTTACGAAGAAATGGTTTTTTGCATTTTCAACTCACGTATTTTTTCAATGGTTATATTGTCTTATAAATGGATTCTTATTTTTATATTATGGTAGAATATTAGTTAAACAAACCAAAAAAAGTATTAAATTAACTGACATTAATAATGACAAAGGAAGAGAAAACTTTAGAGTATTTATTAGAAAGGTAATTAATGATATGATATATATATATATAATATATCTAATATATGATTAATTTATCTATTTTTTTTTTACATTAGATGAAAATGTATAATTTTGTTTGTAGTGCCATCTGTTTTTTTACAGCAATTATTGTCCTTCCATCAACGACATTATTAATGTATTTGGGACTTGATAATTTAATAGATATAATGTTTTGTATTGCTGTTAATATAATTTTTCCAATTTTATTCGGAATGTTATCTTATTCAATTATAACATCGTAAGTATTAATAATTAATTTAATTATTTATATTAAGAAAGAAAATTTCACTAATAATTTGTTTTATATTAATTATATTATTAAGCGAAACACAAAAAAATAATACGGGTAAAATTTGTTTTTGTTTTTGTTTTTTGTTTTTTTTTTTTTTTTTCATTAAAAATGTCATAATAATTTGTATAATTTTATATATAGATGAACCATCTTTTACTCATCAATATTCTACTTATATGCAAACAAATAGTTTCAGTAATGTTTGAAAGTCTTTTTTAATTAATTAAATTCACATGATTTGGATCATATGTACATCATAACTTTATATGAATCATATGATGTCCAAATTTAGTTGGACTGGAATCGTTGCGATCATTTGCCCGAAACCAAACCGGAATAAATATTCGTCCGTCAATAATATTTTCCCCAATTTTTTTTTGTTTGCATAGTATTTACATCTGAAATATTTATAATGCGGAAAAACTTTCAAATGTTAAAACAATAACGTAATTTTACTTTAATAAATGGTAATTACAAGTTAAAAATATTTTCTTTGACCAATAAAATCATTGAATTAATAAATAAATAAATATCTTTGACCCGTAAAATTATTGAATCAATAAATAAATAAAAATTGGAAAATCAATATTACGCAATTTCATATATTAAACGGTTTGTATCCCGACTAAATGTTAATTGATTCGTATATATATATGTGTATGTATATAAATTTTATTATAATATTTAATATTTTAGTATTATCGTTATTAAATTTATTGTTTAAAAAAAATATATATATATATATATATATATTTTTTATATTCCGAAATTTATTATGATTTGTTTTATTAATAATCACATGGATACGAAAAGTGAACGAAAAAAAAAGAATCGCTCAATCTTTTGTCGCACAACAATCAAATTCGTGATTACAAGTTTAAAAAGTCATTCTAAATTTATTTTTTTAATAGTGATTTCATGAGTAATTTGATGATATAATCAATCCAATAATCATTTATAATCAAATAATATTATACGCATTTATATTAGTATTACAACTGATCATCATTTTACCGTATTAAATAAATAATTTTAAATAATTCGTCTGTCGATCAAAAGAAAATAAATCGTTGTGAATCGATAAATAAGGAAAAATTCGTTTCGAAATGCCGAAAATACTTATGCATTTATTGTTGAAAAGCAGCAGGCTTAAATGAATTATGCAAGTATATCATCATCATACTTTAAAAACGTTTACAGGACGGGAATTTTAATCATTCTTAGTAATGCGTAATTCTGAAATTTCTTTTTGACTTTTTTTAATTGTTTACTTAAAAGTACCAAATAACTTCGTTCAAAATATATGAGGTATTTAATATACTTAATATACTTGATATATGTAAATTGTATAACATATGTAACATTCCTCTAAATGTTAATATTATTTGATTTTCACTGGTGTACTAGAACTGGGGTACTTTTTGGTACTTTTTTGATCGTCCATTTTAACTCCGAATATCTGGGTTTAACTATTGATTATCAAAATTCCCGATTTTTAATACCATTATAATTTTATTAATTCACATGAAAAGATTTAAATTCTTATAACTTCTAGAATTTCATTCAATTCACACACGGACCATAACGTATATTACTTATATTAAAATCTCGTGGTTTGCTTATCAAAAAAAAAAAAAAAATCCCTAACTTCAGACAAAGAAATTTTATTGTATAAATCAAAAATTAATTATATAAATTAATTGTTTATTTTATATATATATATATATATATTTTAAAAAAAATTCTATTTTTCCGAAAATATATAAAAATGACGAATGTTTGCATTAGAATTTTTTTTTTTAAAAAAAAAAAAATTATTTTATTATTTTATTTTTTTTTTTTATTTGTTTTTTTTTTTATTTCATTGATTTATTATATTTTTTTAAAAAAATGGAGAGAAATTTAAGTAAAAGTGATATTAAATTTCATCCACTTAATGCGACCAATTGGAAAGAAGATATTGATGAATCAATCCTTGAAAATTATAGATTTGCTGGAGGTCGAAGATTTCATAATGTAGAAGGTGTACCATATTTTTTAGCAAATGATGAGGAAGAAATCTCGAGATTACAAATGCATCATTATCTTTATAGGTACATATGGCAAAGTATATATTCCTCTCCAATGCATGATAAACTTGCTTTAGGAAATCTTAAAGTATTAGATTCAGGTTGTGGCCCAGGAGCGTGGATATTAGATATGGCCAATTCTTATAAAGAATCTATTTTTGTTGGTGTTGATTTATCTCCAACAATGTTTCCTTCTGCCCAAAATAAAAATACTCCTGATAATGTAGCATTCTTGGAAAGAAATATTATTGAAGGTTTTCCTTTTCCAAATGATACTTTTGATTTCGTACACCAGGGTTTCATGAATTTTGCCTTTACTAAAAATCAGTGGCAAGACGTTATTTTTGACATAGTCAGAATAACTAAACCTGGTGGTTGGATCGAATTTACGGTATGTTTATATTGTTTATATACACTTTAAAAACATTTGAAACTTATATAATTTTTTTTTTTTTTTAGGAAACTGATATTGAAACATATTTTGCTGGACCTCTTACTAAGAAATTTATGAAATCATGTAGGTTTATTTTTAATATTAATATAATTTATTATTAACTTTTTTTAATTAAAAGATTTATTTTTTAAATAATAAATAGTTCATGGTCTTTTGAATGCACGTGGCCTTGATCCGTTTATTGCTTCTCGTATTGAAAGCTACTTACAATCTACTAATCAAGTTATCGATATCCATGTTGAACATAAATCAACTCCCTTAGGTTCACACGGAAAAAAATTAGGAGAATTGGTAAGTTTTTTTTTTAAAACGTCTCATGGTATCCAGTAACAAACATGGATCACGTGATCAATCGTGCCGACCGATAATATCTGGTAATTCCGGCCAGCACGATCCCTTCAATAGAGTTATTCAAATCTTTAATTAATATTGTTTTTTATGTCATGTAGCTTTGTTGTAATGAATGGACATCTATATCTCATGCTAAAGCATATATATGTAAATTTGTGGGTATTCCGATTGAAGAATATGACGATTTTGTAGAAAAAATTAAAAAGGAATATGATGAAAACAAATCTTATTGCAAGTCATATAGGTACGTATGTTCAATGAATATGTACATGTTTCATTTACATACTACTTTCTCTCCTAACATTTTTTTTTTTCTGAAATTGTTTTTAGAATTTATGGAAGAAAAAAATATTAAAAAAAAAAATTGGAACTTTTCTTTTTTAAAAAAGAATTATAAAAAAATTTCAAGAAAAAAATTATGAATAAGTTAAGTAAGAAATTTAAAAAATATTTATAAGCAAAAAAAAAAAATATTTATATATATAACGGTCATACAACCATAATTATAGTATGATTTATTTATATATATATTATTTTTTTATACTGTAAGCCTCTTTTTTTATAAAATAATATAGAGATTATATTCGAAACAAAAGTTAGATATTAGGGTTTTTTTTTTATGTTATAAGGGTTAATTATAGCGATTTTAATCATTTTAAACAATATCGGGAGAATCAACTTTTTTTTTTATCAAGTACTATATATAGATTTCTTTATAAAATGAATAAAAAGGGAATATGAGATATTTTACAGAGTATAATCACATGATTGTAGTTGGTTTTTAATTAATATGACACAGATTTTCTCATTCTAGTTCATTTTACGCAATTAATATCGTTTGTGGCTATGTTTGTGTCAATATTTTTTTTTTCTGCCCTTTTTAAGATCTGCGTTCACCTTCTTCCTTCTTTAAGATCTGGTTCACCTTCTTTCTTCTTTAAAATCTGGTTCGTCTTCTTCCTTCTTTAAGATCTGGTTCACCTTCTTTCTTCTTTAAAATCTGGTTCGTCTTCTTCCTTCTTTAAGATCTGGTTTAAAAAAAAACCATCAAAGTAAAAAAGGGTTAAAATCACATTTATTAAAACCTCCATGTCACAAAATCTTCCTGTTGAAATTCTTTGTGATATATTAAACAATTTGGTATTTCAAGATGATATAAGATCTTTTAAGACACTATTTTCTTGTTTGTTCGTTAACAGGTTATGGTGTCAAATAACTGTACCTACCTTATGGAGAAATCCTTGGAACTTTAAAATTTGGAGTAATAAGAATTCTAAATATCGATACAGAGCAATGTTTAATATATTAATTCTATTCTTACCGGATAATTCTATAGAATACTTAAAAGAATGTGGTATTGAAATACAACCAAAGTATTCATTTAGATCCAACACTCGTCAAACTAAAGGTTACACTTTATTCAATTATCCAAGTTTTTGTAAAAATCTATCAATTTATCATATTAATAAAATGATAGATTTTCAAAATCGATTTAAAGATCATAAAATCTTTATTATCAAAGAAATTTTGAAATTATTCATATATGAATCACCACGCATTTTATATATGCATATTGAAGACATTCAACATGATATAACTGGATTATTTAGTAATTGTAAACCTTTTTCACAAATTACTGAATTGATTATTGGTGCAAATATAGATCCATTAATTTTGAATCAATTATCACAATTATGTCAAAATATTAAGAGACTCAAATTAATTGAAGTTACTATTAATCCAAATCAAGAAATGGTTAATTTAGTAAAAGTTCAAAATAATCTTAATTATTTGAACTTTATTTCTGAAAAGACTAGTAGAAAAAAAAACAATCAACACATAGTTTCTTTTATAAATGTATTGAAATTGAAATCACAATCTATTATTTCACTTAATTTTGAAAATGAACTTGCAATTATTTTGAATATATTACCTTATTTTACTCAAAATTTAAGAGAATTAAAATTTAAAGTGGATAATAGACATCAACTTTTGGATAGATTTCATTTAGAATTGAAATCAATCAAATTTGAACAATTAGAAATTTTGGAATGTAATTTACCTTTTAAGGTATTTGCAGAAGTAATAGAAAAATCTGGTAGTGAATTAAAAAAAATTGTTCATATAAAAGGTTGTTATAATTCTAAAGAAGTTGGATTTTTAGTTAATACTATCTCTTATAATTGTTTTAAATTGGAATATTTATATATTGAAATTATAGATACTAATGATTTATTAAAACTTTTAAATTCTTGTCAAAATTTAAAAGAATTAAATTTAAATTTATTATATTTTAATTCTAGAGATCAATCACAATTACTTCTTTTTTTTGAAATTTTGGCAAAAAATTCACCTCAAAGTTTATATAAATTACAATTAAATATTAATATAACTTCTGAATTACTTGAGAAATTTCTTAATATATGGCAAAAAAGACCAAATATGAAATCATTAAATTTAAATGTTATCAATTATCATTATGATAATGAAAAAAAGAAAATTGTACAAAAATTCACAGCAAATGGAGTATTAAGTAATTTTAAATATAATAAAAATATATAATTAAATAATTTCATTAAATATAATTTTTATATTTTATTATTATTTAAAAAAAATTTATAATAAAGTGAAAATTATAAAAAAAGGCAAAAAAAAAAAAGATTTGTTTATATAAATTATAATTAAAATAAAATATAATAAAGAATTAAATTAATATATAAAAATTTTGAATAACTTTTGATCTAGCAATCAGATTTTGATGATCTTTTTTATTTTAATCAGAACAATTAAAAAATTTAAAAAAATTATCAAAATTGGATTACTAGATCCCAAGATAATAATTTTTGGAAGTTAAATCAAATTCAAGTTAAGTTTGAATTGAATCAAATTTCAAAGAAAAATTTAATTCATACAGAATATTAACATAATTACATAAAGTTACAGATGATTTGTGGTGTATTACTTATTACATCATATACATTTTAACGAAAATTGAAAATGTGCTAATTTATGTCATACTCATACACACCTACATGCATTATAATAGATTTTGATAATAATTAATATCACAATGCAATTCAAATAAAAATCTTCCTGAGAAATAGGAGTGGGCCAGTATATTACCTTATCTAATTGTCATCTTAACTGATATTTCTTAGCTTCTATCCATTATCTAGGAAAATAATAAACATATTCCTTATATAATGGGATTACTTTGGCTGGATTAATTATTCCAATATATTCTGAGTAACTTTTTCTAAATAAAGCATAAAACTCATTGCAAGCTATATCATACTCTTCTTATATCTCAGGATTAATTAGCATCTGATTATATGTAAGTATACCTAAGAATTTCTTTCTATCAGGAGTATCATCATTCCTCATTATCTTCCAAACTTATTTTGCCAAAGATTCAGGTCTCTTTTTGTAATTCCTGTAAGCTCGCTGGATAACAGTTGCATAAAAATCTTTAAAGCCATATTTATAGTAGTATTTAGGAATCAAGAATCCCCAAGATCGTTTTATTGATCTTTCCTCCTTTTTTCTTATATTCTCGAAAAAAAAAATAACCTAACAGGAAAGACTATCTCCTGCAGATCAATAGACATACGGTGTACCACACATACATGCATTGTGACAAAAAAAAAGTTATAGGCCAATGACGCACATTTGTCCCTATGTCACTATGTGGATCACAGGACGGGTCTGTGAGTATATGCTTAGTGCCTCCGAGATTTTATCCCGAACAAACATGAGAAAAATGCGAAAGAGCGTCTAGTTGCAATGTAGGACCTATGACCTATCCTATTGGGCTCTTGTATTTAGGAATCAAAATGTCAGAAATATAAGCCTTAACTTCCGCAGTAATTCTCAAATTTACTTTTTTTTATTTTTGTGTTTATTTCGTGGTACACCGTACTTTAATACATAATATAAACTATTGTCAAGTTTATGCGATATAAAATAAACTGCCTATTACTAGGGAGCCAGCCACCACAGGAATTCTCAAATTTACTTTATTTTATGTGAAGTTGGCAAGAATTCTCAAATTTACTTCGGCAACGTACCGATATATTGTATTCTCTGTTACAGCAACTGGAAATGAGACGCTCGCGTTGGAGGGTGAAGTTATAAAGTACAATACGGCTGAACTTATCGACTTCTTTGCGGGGAGAGGACATAAGGTGATACGGCTCTCAAAATTTTAGATAAGCAAGAGTTTATCGGTTATGCTTTTTTCGACCTGTCTCAGGAAGAGCTTGAATTCTTGGAGGACCGGCAAAAGCACCCGTGAAGTTCGCCAAGGAGTGTAGGGAGAAAAGAAAGGACGTTCTCAACCTACTGCAGTTAAAGGAGGTGTTGATGAAATATGTCATTAACTCAAATAGTATGGACTATTTTCTCTACAAACCCACGAAATTCAAGACTCCAATAAGCACTTTGAGTAGGATATTTTGTTCAGGGTAAAACATTACGGGTCATTGGTTGTGGATAGTTTGGAATCTAAGCGTAATGAATACGTTTCGACATACTTCATACGGGCATACGGCCCTTCATTGTCACGAGAGACGTCACGGGTAAGGAATTCAGTATGAGACCTGAATACGAAATAAATGTTGCGGGCGAATCAATTACGCAATCAAGGTAACTTTTTCTTCACTAAAGCTAGAAAAAACCCATGATATTATTGTTAATGGCATATTTTCTTTTCTTTTTACAGTATGTGAATGGGCGGGCAGGAGGCCAAAATCTTGTTCGTGTCACAGATGACAAGGTCCAGCGTAGCATACTTGTAGGTTTCGCTCAGGTAATATATTGCTTTGTATTACTTTTCGTTTTGTATTACTGATGAATGTCTCGGATCAGTTTAACTCAATTTCACATATTTTTACCAATTTTGAATGAATTAGCTTGTTGATCATTTCCCTTTCTCTTATTTCTCCTTCATCACTGTAGACCTCTCTCTCATCTCATTCACAAATGTCAAAAATCCTCGAAAAGACTGGCGGGTGTTGGAACGATGTAGATTCAGAGAGTATTGGGCCAGAAAACAAAGTTTCCCTTTATTATTTGAAAAGGAAAGGAGAATTGTTTCGCAACATTCCAAAACATATTTGGAATGAGGAAGTTAAAAATGCAGAGAATTTAATGTTAGTTGAAAGTGGTGAGTATTTCTCAATCCAACATACATGATTGTATGAATATTTATATGACTCTAATATTTCTAAATATACTACAGATAGCACAAAAACTATGTGCTTTAATGAAGAAGTCCGTGACGCTACGGATGACCTTTGTGACATTTTGTCACATTGGAACACTTTCCTTTTGGAACAATACAATGATGAGTTACTTGAAAATGATCGTTTCGAAAATATTAAAGATCTGCTGAATAGCAATGATCAAACTGTATGGAAAAGGATTGAAGAAAAGGCTCGAGATTTAGGTGGGGTAACATGAGATGAAATACTTGAGATGGGCTCCTACAAACTAGCTCGAAATCGTGGGGAAAAGGTTAAAGAAGATCATTGCACTCGAACAATTAGATACAGCTAGTGATTACATGTCACTAACATGCAAGCGAGGATTAGAAAAATGTATTGACATTGTTAATCATTGATTTTATTTTCTGCTAATGTAAATAAAAAGCTAGTTACATATATAGTTAATGTTTGTATATTTGTTCTTTTCTGTATATTAATTGATATAAACGCAAAAAATTTTACCAGGAACATATAAAGATAGAGTTAAAGATCAAAGTCTTCAAGTCCATACTGTGCTATTAGTCTTTCAGCATATTCCCGATCGCAACGTTTAAAAAGTGCTTTACATATAAGATAATCTTCATTTTCATCCTCAGAAGTATCACCTTTATTTTTTTAAAGATAAAACACACATTAGATAATTCATGATATAATTAAAATTTTCGTTTCACAGTTTTTTATGAGGTAGAAAGCAGTAATCATCTTGGAAAGAATACCTTCTTCCTGTCCCGTCATATCATCTGTGTCCGTAAAGTCTAAAACTCTCTCCCGATGGATAAAAATTAGGTGTCGTTCTAGTTTATCAAAGGATCTAAATCGACGTGAACTATCGCAAATTGGGCACTAAACGTGAAAGAAATTAAAGTCAATTTAAAGTAGCAGGCAAAACCAATTTTTGTGCCTACCTTAAATGGCATCTGTTTAGTGTGTTTACGCAAATGTTCTGCAAGAAATAATAATAGATTATTACGATTTATTACAGAGTCAGAAAGTACTTAGGTACTTAGCATATTATTTATACCTTTTAATTGAGGAATATCATTACATCGATTTTTACAATTCTCCCATGGGCATTGATAAAATTTGCGCCCTCGATAAAACGCTCTGCGTAAGAACAGATCAGAAAGTAAAAACCTAATGACTCTCAAGTAATAGTTAGTTTACCTTAAATTGGCCAAATCGTGATCATTGTAGACATGAAGCTGGAGCTCCTTTTGAGTGAAAAAGCGTAGTGGTTTAGAATGAGCATCGGAACATTTGCAGATAAATGGTGCTATGGAAGCAGGCATGATAATGTGGAATATGGTGATATGATCTCTAAGAAGAAAATATTATTTATGGATCAGATTACATAAATCTTAAGGCTATTATGTAATGTTGATGCAACGAAAAAGCATGACATAAAACATATATATTAACCTATTAATCGAAAATTTCATTTTGCTATATATGGTAGTAAATAAATAAGCATAGAGCATGGAACCGGATTGGATAACCCAATTCGAAATTTAATTTGCTAGACTGCGAATCAAATTTCAGATTTGGTTTATAATCTGAATTTATGATCCGATTTATAAAATAGATTTGATTTTAGTATTTGGTTTGAAATTCGATTTATAAATTAGATTTGAACTTGAAAACCAGACCTCAATTCGAATCAAAAAATTTAACTGGATTATTTAACCAAACTGAATTTCAAACCAAATAATAAATCAATTGATTTGTAGTTAGTTCAGTATTTCGCTTAGTTATATTATTAAATATTTATATTTTTAAATAATATTAATTAATTATTTTCTATTAACTTACAACTTAACTTGTATTTAAAATTTGTCCGAATATATTAGGACCCCGCGTAATATATATATAAGTCATAGGAAATTTTGAAAATTTTATAATAGCGCTACGCAAGAGTTTTTACTAAGATAATAAGCAAACTCAACATATGACCGATATTATTATATTAGTATTTTATCCGTTGATCATTAACTATATAGTGTGCACAGAAAATCAAGATTTGTTTTAGTAATACTGATCACTTCTAATATATTTATTTATCGTATTATTTTAAATTTAAGGTTTTTTTTTAATTTCTTATAACTACTATTATGTATATATTTAAAACCGCCTCATTTTTTCAATAATATCATCCCGACCAAAATATTCATTATAATATCTTTTTTCATCCCCTAATAGTTTTAAGATGTTACCATAGAGATCGGCCAAAATTATCCTAAAAATAAGCAAACAAAAAAGATGACATAAAAAAATATGCTGAAAATATGCAAACTAAATATATACAGTAAGTATAATGAAAATTTTTATTGATTCTAAGCAAATCCTTCTTCTAAGGCCACACAAATTCAATTTTTTGGTTCACGTAACATTGAAATTTAAAATCAACCCGGGGACCTGGGGTTTATTGTTTATTAGTAAAAAAAGTTTATATATAAAATCGTGACATTTGATTGGTTGACTTTTAAAAGGGAGGAATTTATTTTCGCTCTAGAAGTTCTCAGCCGTGTGATAAACTTACCCGCCAATAAAATTACGTCCTGATCACATGATAAATTTTTTATATATAAACTTTTTTTTATTAAAATTTGAAAAAGTGACCCGGCCGGGTGAAGTGAACCGAAAATTCAAATTTGTGTGGCCTAACTATACCTAAATTCACACATGGCTAAGCAAACGTTCCTATGAGTAATTATACAGGTCAAAGGTATTTGGTTTAAATATTCAAATCAAATTTTAATGACAAATCAAATTTAAGATTTAGTTTGAAATCTGGTTGATTATTTTAATCTGAAATTTGAATTTCAGATTTAAATCCGGTTTTTTATCAAACTTAGTAAATCACTTATTTGATTATAAAAATCCCATTCAGAATTTGGAAATCTGAATTTAAACCAGAATTCATGAATTCAATTCCATATACATAAAGTTTTCAGTTAATTTCAGTAGAATGGATGCAGAGCATTATCATTATATTAGTGAGGACTTGTAAGTTAGGAACATTGGATACATCATATCCATCCAATCTTTCCTTAACCGATTTTAGTGAGAAGTGATCAGGAAAATTGATCCCTTCATTTTCACATTGCCCACTATACTCCTTTTGAATTTTATTAGCTAACTCTCTTTGAAATCTAGAGATTCAGGATGAACTAGTACTAGCATTAGAGGCAGATTCAGCTAAGATTTTTACTATGGTTTCTACATCTTTTTTGCTAAGATTATCCTGGACAATTTGCTGAACTATCCTTTTGACAGTTTCTTCTTCTGGAATAAGATCAGACATTTGGCATAAATTCACTCCCTCATTTCTGATCCTCCTATTTGAAAAGTTATTTGACTTTACTTCAACAAATTTTTTGATCAGAAACTAATATAAATGCCTGCTCTTTGCTAAAATTATACCTTTTTTAAAAGTGCTGTTAACCCTTGTTTCTTTTCAATTTATCTGTTAAAAGCTTGAGTAATACTGGATCATGCTGGCTAAGTTTTTCATTGCTAATCTCTTTATTGAATTTGTGTTTTGCAACATACTTTATTACAATCACAGATATAATATATAAATTTAGGTTATAAAATAACTATTAGATTGTGTATAACTGTTAAGTTATACTATATCTGAAAAAGTTCAATTCAAAAAAATATTCTGACAATTTACTACCTTATGGTCAGTAAAAGACTAAAAGCTATTAGAGGATTGGTAGAAGGAAAAGAATAATATAACTTATGTAAAGAATCTTTATGGATATCTATCTTATAAAAAGTCTTTATATTTAAAATATACTTAAAATTTTATTAAAATATACTTAATTGATGATCTATTTAAAATTGGCACAGTTTTATAATTATTTTATAGTAATTAGTAAATTGTGAGGTTAATAACGATAATAAAAAAAACCGTTTTTAAATCTGACAAGTATAATAGAATTCCACCCACTACATAATGAAAACATACTACCCAGTAATTATTTTTCTTGTTTTACCAGGGATACTTGTTAAAAGACTTCATTATGGCCCATATATATTTACGATATTGGTAATAACTTTCACCTCTTTTACCTGCTGAATCTAAAAAAGACAAGAAAAATACATATTTTTTCATTCATATTAACCAAAAAACTAAGGCAACTTTTAATAACTGTGAATTTACTACAACAATAGTTGTTGGCAATAAAAATAATAATAATTTTTTACCAGGTTATATATATCAATATGAAGCTATTATAGAAATTGCCAATGATCTAACTAATGCTATTTTTAAAGTTTATTCCAAAGTAACACACTATTATGCTCCATTAATTATGGGATAAAATGATAAAAATATAATAAAAGAATTGTGTAATGATGTTTCTTTTATTCCTCAATTGTTTTTACTTGATAAAATCAAAATATTTATATATGGAACAGAATTTCATGTTGGACCAGGATATAAATCTTCTCTTTTTTATAAATTCAATGGGAATAAACAGGTATTATTTGTTTTCAAAATAGACTTTTTGTGTATTCTTAAAATTTATTTAGATCAAATACTTAAAAGTACAATTAAAAATAAAAATCCAATTAATGTATGGAAAACTTCAGGTTTGATAAAAAAATTCAATGGAAATCAACTTTTTGGTATTGAAAATTATGCAATACAGTTTCTAAATAAAAAGCAAAAAGTGCTAATTTGTTTACTTCAAGAATGGAAAAATCAGGACCCCAGAAAATACTTATATAGGTAAGGACCCAAAAATATTTTTTATTAGTAGCTCTAAGCATAGGTTTTTACTATGATCGCTAAGCATTGTTGATATCTAACCTTAAAAATTATATAAAAATAAGCAAATCAATCTTCTAACCTAATTAAATTTTTATTATAACACATATAATTTATAAAATATATTTATTAATTAATATATTTTATTAAATCCAATTTTAAATATGTTGTGAAGCTAAACAAAACATAATATACAAATAGATTAACAATATTCAATTAATAAAATTAATAAACAGTAAAAGAAAAATTCGAAATTAATACTATTACAAAAAATGTAAATTTCTTCATAAGTATTATACTTACACCCATAAAAAATTAATATGTAGGTAGTTTCGACAATTAATTTAAAAAGTCGATTTCATTTGACCAAAGAGGTGTAATTATGCTCTGAAGTTGTAAACAGAGAAATAAAAAATTCAGAAGTTAGTACTGTTATGAAAAATGCACTTTTCTCCATAAGTATTATACCCACACTCATGAAAATTAATATATAAGTAGTTTCGACCTTGCTGAACAACTTTCAATTAATTTAGAAAGTCGATTTCATTTGACTGAAGTGGTGTAATTACGCTCTGAAGTTATAAACGAAAAAGTGAAAAATTTAAAAGTTATTACCGTTAAAAAAAATATGCTTTTCTATATAAATATCATACTTAGCCTTATGAAACTTAAAATACAAGTAGATTTAACTTGCTGAACAAACTTACTTAAACATAAAAGATAATTTGATATAACCAAAGTGGTGAGTAGTGAAATTATATTTTAAAGTAAAACATATTTATAGTAATTTTATTTAACAAAATAAACATGTATAATATAGTAATTTTATATTAAAAATAATACACTGAGTTTAATAAAAATTAAAAAGATACTATTGACAGATAATTAATAAAACATTGAAAAAAAAAATGAAATTTCATCAAAAAAAATTTTTGTTTATGTATTTATATAAAATTGTGAAATGTAGTACAAAATTAACACTCACCATTAGTGAAAATAAAATAAAAATTAATTATAAATTCAATATATAATATTTTAAAAAGTTATATAAATATGAAAAATAAGCAATTAAAAACTCTTAGTATTTTAAAATAATACCAAAAACATGCAATTTAATTATCTTACATAGTATAAAATTAAGCATTATAAAATTCTTACATCATAAAACTTTTCTATGTTGGCTAAGCACCTTGGTACTTTACATATATAAACATTTTTCGGGATCCTGAAAAATCCCTTTATTATAGAATTACTTTTTGATTTTCACCTAAAACGAAGAACAACAGTAAATATTAATTGGTATTAATGCAGATTATATATACTGAAAATTATAAATTCAATATACAAGAATTGAAAGCATAGAATACTTTTCTTTCATGCAGATGACGCTCATATATAACTTTTTGGTTAAATGATGATGAATATTATGTAATTTTTTGATATTATTACTAAAAATAATTTTACAAATAAAACTAATTATAAATTTCATTATTAGTTTCAATTTTGGTCAAAATTCAGCCATTCAGAACAAAATTATATACAAATAGTGCTCTGAAATAAGTTGAGTTGACTCACAAGTTGGTCAAGT